GGGTGGCCCCTTGAAAACAGATATTTGGGCGGCGGTTGTGCGTGTACAGGTGTGTGGATGCTGAGCTTTCTGTGTGCACGCACCCCAATGGACGCACACGCATAACGACACATATATGGTATGTGGTTAAGTGTGTGTACAGCCATGTGTTGGTTTTTTTTAGAGAAAGTCTGCAAATAGATGCTACAAAATATTGTTTAAATGTGGTTTTGAAGGAAGCTCACCAGCAGAGGTGGTGTACCAAGCCGTTTCAAATACCACAAACACCTTACCCAGCGCTTTGCAGCCCCTGTGCCGGCTGACAGGGAGGGAGCAGCTGTATCGCACCGCTTCCCTCTCTCCGGTTTTCGCCTGCATGGCATGGCCCGAATAAAGCGCCAGAAATCAGGTGTGATGTGTTTCCATACGGCTCGCATCCCTCTCGCTGTGTGCAGCTAAAAGCCAAGGTCGCCAACCTGGTCCAGCTGCGGGCAGGGATTCTGACCCCCGGGGTGCCTTGGGAACGGATCAAGAATTAATGATAATGTTCATGCTTTCTGACATCGCTGGGGCGCTGAGGGCAGCTGTAGGCTCTGCAGCCTCCCTGCCTCCCCGGGACTGGGCTGCCTGTGCTGGAGGACAGCTCTGACCCATTGCAGCTCCAACCTGGGCTCAGCCTACGGGGAGAAGCTGGGGATGAGAAACAGCTGGGAGAATTGCTGCTGGGGAGCCGCCTCCGCTGCTCAGGAAATGCATTTAAGCTCAAGTCCTCAGCCTGGTTCCTTGTTTGGCCTGTTATGGCTGATCTGGGATGCTTCTGATGGGCCTGCTCTGCTCTCCTTGCCCAGGGACTGAGACAGGGTGCCCTGCTTGGTGAGGTTCCCCACCTGCCTTGCCCTCACTCTTCTTCCCAGCCCCCTCCTGCTGGCAGATGTGCTGGTTTGCCTTTTTTTAGTGATAAGGCTTGAGCAGCAGCCTTAAAGGCTAGCAAATGCAGATTAAAAATGTAAAAATACTTGGTGGCAAAGCACAACTTGGTCGATGCTCCTGCGTGGAGTACATCACCTGTCAGTGTTTAAATTGCGTCCTTCTGTGGACTATTTTCCAACACTCTGTTCCAGCACTGCAAGTCACATCAGCGCGGTCAAACATATAAACCCTGGGACATCCCTATTTGGAGATTAAATGAGGAAGCAAGTACAGGGAACATGAAGAAAAAAGCCACCCTACTATTCATAGCTACTTTTAAGATTATTTTGACTTTGGCAGGCAGTTTTTGTTGCTGTGTATTAGCTCATGTTTATTTGTGGCTGGTGGCCAGTGTATGGATGCTTGGAGATGTTTTCCCAGGAGAAGGACTGCAAAACAGGTGTAAGTCCATCAGGGTGGAGGAAAAGGAAGATTTGCTGAATTGTGCCCTTGATTTTCCTACTGGCTGTGTATCAGCAGCTTGTCTCCTGAGTCCCTGTGTGTGTGGGAGGGCAAATAAGGACTCTGCAGAAGTGCAAATACAGCAGGAACTGCATAGCCCAGAGGCTACAGGAATGGTTGTGGAGAGGAGCTCTGTGACTCCCAAGCTTTAGAAGACGTTTGAGGACCTTCGGTTCCCCATAAACTGCCCGTCACTGGTACTAAGAGTTTAAGCTTGCGACTCTGTGGAAAGCAATTTGGATCAGGGATGAAAGAAAGGAAAAGCATTACCAGCAAATGCTTCTTTGCTGGGGTACAGGCACAGCCCTGCCAGTTGCAGACACCCCATGCCTACACCTGGGTTCCTACCATCCAGGGTTTTTTTCATCTTCTTACCGTAAGATAATGAACTACTTCAGTCAAATCAGCAAGCTGAAGAAGGCTTTTGTGCTTAGGCAGCTGGGTGACGCGGTATTGTTGTTTATTGTAACGTTGACCTTTATTTGAACGTCTTTATTGTTGGCTCTGAGCCTGTGATGTTCCCTCCCTCTGCCTGCTTGTCTCTACCAGCCTGCAGAGGGGTTGTGAAACACTGGGGCTAGAGCTCCAGCTCTGGTCAAACTGGGAGAGATGCTGTCGAATTCAACAGATTTCTGTGAATTAAAATCGGATCTTGACAGCCTTGAGAGAGATTTGAGGTTGTTCCCTGAGTTTTCACAGTCTTTGTCCCTGTGGGGCTGTGTCAGGGTCTTCTATAGCGACGCAAACTCTGCGAAACTGCGTCTGGAGACTGCAGGCTGCTCCCAGACCTTGCGGATGCGCTTCACGCTGCGGGAAGCAGGACGCTCAGTACAGCGGTGAGGTGCAATGATGCGACTCCTGCGCAGGCAGAGCTTTTGTGAAAGTTGGCATGCAGGTGTGAGCAAGGAATGCAGGTGTACATAAGGATTCAGATCTGCATGTAAAACATGTGCAGGACTGCATCCGCGCACCCCTTTGGGGTGTGCTTTTCTGCATTCGTGCCATTGTGTTTTTATCCAGCCACGTCTCCGTGTACACATGCAGATGCCCAGTTTCTGCATATACCAACGTCCTGGGGAAAGCCAGGCGTGAGTTAACTGATGTGGTTTCAGCTGCTTTTCAAGCGTGGTCTGACTCTTGCAGATGCCGGCGTTCGGTGGAGGTGGCTGGGGGGGTTGCAGGGGCTCCGCACGCTGCGGCTCACCTTACGTTGCAAGGCAGTGAGAGAAACTGGGAGGCACGTCACAGCCTGGGCTGCTCCCTGCATTTCCTGCCCACGCTTTGGATGTGGACAGGGAGGGCTGGAGGACTGGTTTGTGCTGTGTCTGCGCAGAGCTGCTTGCGAGGAGGCCGGCGCCCGGGCTGTGAGCAGCTGCCTGCTTGCCTGCGCCGGCTGGGGGCTTAACAAGCCCGGGACCAAACCCTAGCATATTCCCCCCCCCCCCCCCCAAAAAAAAAACCCCAAACCTCAGCATGGGCGTATTTATTGTCTCTATGCCTTCAGCTCCCGAACCGCTGCTGAGCACAGGTTCTGCACGGGGGATCCGTATGAGGAGAGCGTTCTGCGCACAACCTCTCTGCTGCATGCTGAAAAAAGGTCCCCAAAAACCCCAGCGTCTCCCAGCAAGTGGATAAAATGCCACCCAGGGCTGCTCCTTGCTGAGAGGGGACAGCATATGCTTACAGACTTTACCGGGAAGAAAATACTCTCTGGGGATACTTGCTGGGAAGCAGCAGTGAAGAGCAGCTGCTGGGAAAAGCCGCTCCCCGGCTTTGTAGGCATTCTGAAGCACAGGCTGGGTTTCTGGCCGGGCAGAGCAATCCCTTCCTCGCCTTCCTGTGGTGGGGACGACGGGCAGCGTGCCGTGACGTTGCACATCACACTTGCCTGTGACGCGCAGATATGAAGCGGCTTCTGGCCAAAAGCCAGTGGGTTGGGACAGAAACGTTTAAATGTTTGCCTGGGTAGGGCGCTTGCGGCTCTGCTGCTCGTCAGAGGAAGAGGAGGAGGAAGGTGAGCAGCCCCTGCCTTCCCCCTCCCCAGGCTTCCGCCTTCCCAACCCGGGCGAGGAATTTGAGCCCCACTGTGCCCAGCGGATGTGGTGCTGCTTTTCCAGCCAGGAAAGTAACATTTTATTTTTTTTTTACATGGCAAAAGGCATAGAAGTTACTACAAGGAAATGAAATGCTTCTAAATCACTGGAATAGGGTATTCATTTCCTGCTGGGAGGGGGGGGAAGACCATCTGTAAAACGGTCCTTGGCTTTCCTGAGGGTAAATTCATGTGAATTTATACTTTAGCTTTATACCTTAAGACTTCTCTGTCCCTTTTCTGATTTTCTTAGATAATTTATTTCCAGTTCAGCTTGTCAGACAGTGACTTCTGAAAGTGATTCCAGGTATTGGACTGGGGACTTTCCAGGACCCCATGTGTGCTGGCCATCCAAAACTGGAGGGGAATGCCCATCTTTGATTGCCTGCTGCGTGCTCCACCTGAAAGCATCGCTGGAGGTTTGCTTATTAGGTAACCTGTAATAAATCCAAGATCACACTTATAGCAAGAACACCCTGGGCTCTCCCCTGTCCCCTCACCCAGACGCCCCAGGGACCACCTGCCTGGGCTGCGGTTAGTGCTGAGAGCAGGCAAGCGAACACGATGGGTGCGGGTGTTTGGGTAAATGCTAAAGCTGTGCTTCTCGCCGGGCCTTAACACCAGGCTGGCACTGGCATTACTGTCCTTAATTGCCCCTCACATAGGCCTGCAGGACATCAAAGGTAAATGGCAAGGTTTCACAGTCTAATAATACAGGATTTTCCGTTTATTAATTAGGTGAAGACCACAAAGCCCTTAAAACAGCAGTCTATCCTACCTAGAGCGTTTCGTCAGCTAAACTCAGAGCATCGCCTGCAACGAAGGCACTGACCTCTCCCATCCTTCACTGGGATCCTTGGGCTCAGGTGAGGAACATCAGAGGAACAGAGCCCTCGCTCTGATCATCATGGAGCCCGCAGCTCACAGCCACCAGGAAGCACCTACCCCTTCCAGCATGGAGAAAGCGGAAGACCTTGCCTTCGAGTTAAATGTTGCTGTGAGGGACATTAATACAAAAGCTGTGCTGGAGCTCCTGGAGAAAGGGGCAGATGTGAACTCCAAAGCAGAAAGTGGCTGGACACCACTGCAGAGCGCCGTCCAAGCTAACAGTGAGGACCTGGTCCGGCTTCTACTGGACAAGGGGGCTTGTCCGCATGCCCGGAAGGACAACGGTGGCACTGCATTTACTGAGGCAGGGATCGCGGGAAACGTGAATATACTGACACTCCTCCTTGATTACGGGTTAAGTGTTAACTACCATGACGATAACGGCTTCACAGCTTTCATGGAGGCTGCATGTTATGGGAGGGAGGAAGCCTTGAAATTCCTGTATAGCAAAGGAGCAGATGTGAATTTGAGGAGGGCAGTCAGCGAGGAGAATGTGAAACTGCATAAAGGAGGTGCGACAGCACTGATGGATGCTTGTAGCAAGGGTTACTTCTCGGTTGTAAAAACTCTTGTCCAAGAGATGGGGGCTGACGTGAACATTTGTGACAACAAAGGCAGGAATGCCTTGATCCATGCCCTCAAGGAGGGTTGTGCCAAGGACAGGTACGAGTCAGCAGTTGCCATAGGCCGTTTCCTGCTGGACCACGGTGGCGACGTGAACAGCAAGGATGAATGTGGGAAAACTGCCCTCATTCTAGCTGTTGAAATGCAGAGCCCAGATTTGGTGACAGCTTTGTTGGAGAAGGGTGAAATAGATATTGATGATGCAGATGAGGAAGGCAACACAGCACTGATGGTGGCTGTAGAGAAAAATGATTGCAATATAGCAGAGTTGTTGTGTAAAAAAGGAGCAAGGACTGATGTTGGGAACCTTATCGCTGTTGCAAACAGGAACCGTGCTCATAACATGGCACGTCTTCTTCGCCAGTATAATGCCACCTTCATTCCAGAAACCCTCAAAAACTGGGAACCAAACAGCAAACGCTGGAGGGACCAGCTGAAAAGTCTTTATCAAATATATCGCCCTATGATTGGCAAACTGAAGGTATTTCAGTACATCCAGCAGAGAATTCGGTACACTTCCCAGGGTGGCATCTACCTGGGGCTCTACGGTGGGACTGAGGTAGCAGTAAGAATAAGCCGCAGTACGGAGGGTGACAAAGAGAAAAGGTTCTTTGAACAATGTGGTAACTGTGAACATCTACTGAAGCTCTTCCAGTTTGAGAAGGCAAGAGGTTACACATACTTGTGCTTCGCCCTCTGGGAGAAAAACCTTGAAGAACATCTGCAGGAACCAGAAGATCAAATGGATTGCAAAGATGCTCTGAGGATGATCTTCAAGGCAGTGAGAGAGCTGCACTCCCTCGGATTTTCTCACCGGGATCTGAATCCCAGCAACTTTTTAATAGGTTATCTTTTTCTTCCTCAGTGTTTTCATTTTGCTTTCCTGTTGCCTGTAGTTTACAGAAGATGCTTCATACTTATCTGTAAAAAAGGAGATAGGAAACACCATTGCAGATGTCTTCATGCAGAATGAGGTGTCAGTGGCACTAACTGTCCTCTTTGAATAGGTATAGACACATTCACAGTCAGCCAAAGGGGAGTGAACAGAACAGCTTTACACCTCTCATTAGATCTGCCCTCCTTTCTGGGGCTTCACAGACAGATCAGCCCATAGAAGATCTCTTTAGAGAATTGTTTTCTAAAGAAGGGGCCATCCAGAAGTCAGTGACTGACTCTATCAAGGTTTCCCACCAGTATTTGTTAATAATTTCTTTTATTTCCTCAGATTCAGGTGGCAAAATTTACTTGGTGGACTTTGATAATAAAAGAGAGTTGATTGAAGGCAAAAAAGAACTTGTGAGCTCAGATTTAGAGGTAACCTCCCCGTGAATCAACGTATAGTTTAAAATGTCAGGCTGTCTCTGATCTCTTCTGTTGCTGTGAATCCTAGGGGAAGCCTTTCTGCATCAACTAGAAAACACCTTGGGTTTTGGGAAAGCCCATATAACAATAGGCACTGTGTAAGAATGGTAGTGATGAGGATGCAAGGCTGTGGCTGGGATATCCCCAAATACCCTGTGCGCATGATTACAGTGCCTGTCTGCCCTGTCTTTGTGCATGCAGCTTCAAAGTTCGTGTCTGTGTGTATTTGTGTACTTCTGCATGCGTGTAGGTGCATGTGTGCATTCACGTACGCAGCCTGCTCGTTTAGGAACACTAGACTTCTTCAATTTGGTGAGAAGTCCCACGCATCTGGCACACGAGCAGCAATGTGTTTCTTCGCAGGCCCTCAGCAGGCTCGTGCTGTACGTTTTAACAGGGGGTAGCAAACCCCTTCAGCAAGTCAGTACCGAGGATCTGGCTGCCAATTCACCAGATTACTCGGAGGCTCTGGACCTTGTAAGCAGCCTGGTCTCTCATGATGAACGAGGCTTGGAGGGTTTGAGCAAACATCCCTATTTCTGGAGCAAACAGACGTAAGTGCTGGGAGTACAAAGGAAAAGCTTTCAGAACGAGATTTACCTGTAGCGCTGGGAACAGCAATGTCCTGTTGCAGCTAATGAAGCTCTTCGTTCCACAGCAGGTTCAAGTTCCTGAAGAGTATATGGAATAAAATCAAAGATCTCCAAAACCGAAAAGCTGTCTTTCAAGCTCCTAATGCTACTGAAAGTTTTCCTTACCCGTCATGGACCAAGCAGGTAATCCTTTTCCCTTTGGGTGGATATGAGGTTTGAGGTAGACTTTCAGGCAGAAGCTTTTCCTGAGTGTTTCACACTCCTATTTAAAACTGCACCTGGAAAAAATAGCCACATGCAAATAGAGATAACTGGGGGGAAAAAACTAAATCTAAGCCACGTAGTCAAAATACACCAGACTAAAGGCATTGATGCTAAAGGGAGCTTCTGTTGACTGGGGTGGTAGCAGGGGAAGGTTGTTATAGAATTAGCTGGCAAATCTTCAAGGGTGAGCCCTTGAGACAAGGACCTCTGGCGCTCGTTGCCAGCAAATTTCTGGCAAAAGTGTTTTGTTAGATTGGCTCAAAAACAGTGAGACTTTTGCAGGTAGCATCCTGGAAAGACCTCATCACTGGAGACCTGACGGTCTCGGGTCAGTATGGCAGCCCATGTGGTCCTCTCAACAGTGGCACAGTTGGATCAAGACCCCCTCCTGTCCTCCAGGCATGCATAAAAATCTCCTGTGCTATGTTGACAGCCCAGATATGAATGCCACACCTTGGCAAGGCAGGAGAGGAAACACTTGGCAGAATCAGGCGGTCTGTATGGCGCATGCTCCGCAGCGTGAATTCTTCTGCTCGTGCTGGGAAATATGCTTTTAAGGTTCACAAGATTTAACCATACAAGATGAAGTCCCAGCAGAAAGGCAGCGGGTGAGATGAGTGCAGGTAGATGTGCTGCTTTTGTGGTGAGTGAAAGGCAGAGAATAATCTACGTGTATTTTTTTCAGATTGACAAAGACGTTCTGAATATCATGCAAAAGCCTCAGAACAGACCACCATTCAAATATAGCGACGATGTCGTCAACCTTTTGAGGCTCATCAGAAACCTGGATGAACATCCAGATAGCAGGTACGTGGTCACATCTTTGCCTCTGCCACAGTTCTATTGCAGGGAACATCTGGGTATCTGCAAGTGTTAGTGAGTTTGAAAGCAAAATCTTCTTCAGATGGTTCTCCGGAAGGGTGAATGCAGCCAGGATGTGGGAGGCAGCCCCTCTAACAAGATGAGCTTTAACGGACTCTCTCCTCTGGCAGCACAATAGACTAAAATATTGTGCATCACAGCAGCAGGCAGTCCGCAGTCAGCCCTCAAAGCACCTTCCTGAGGATAAGATAAGAAAGTTAGTTCACAGGATCAGACCTCAGACTTTGAAGAAAAATCTGACCCCCAGATCGTCTCCCACAGAGAGGGGAGATGATCTTCAACCAGAGCCTTCCGCTCTGGAGGGATAGCAGCAGCTTCAGAGAAATGGTGGCAGCTCCCTTGGCACTCTTGCCTTTGCAGAGTAGCCCAGCGCGGAGAGGTGTCTGCAACAGCTAAGGCACGTCATGGCTCTACAGCAGAGGACACCGTGAACATGTCCTTCTGGGCTGTTATTTTTGTTGCAGGCTAGTGTTTCTTGCCATAACTCCAGGAAGGTTTTTAGATCACTCTTAAATATTTGTATCATCCTTTACACCTTTGCAAAGCCTCCTTGTCTACTTTGCTAGTATTTCCAAAGTGCTGATGTTTACTGTGCTGAAGTGGTTTGAGACACAGATCAGGAAGAACCAGTCCCATTAATAGATCCTGTTAGGAGATCTTGACTCCTGAAGCAGAGAGCCAGAGTCTCCGACCTTGTATAATTGTGGGCACTCACATGTGAGCTAGAGGTGGTGTTAATTCGTAGTGATGATTTCACTGATGCTGGTGGCCAGCTTTGCTGTTCAGCGAAGATGCAGGTGGGCTTGGGCAGATGGAGGTGCTGGAGGAATAATGAAAATATGGATGAAGAGCTTAGGGAAGGTATAGCAAAGCTGTGGCTCAATGATTACTATGAAACCATATGTTATCAGAAAGCCTTTGGAATGGCTTTTTCTCTGCAAGGGAGGAAGCAGGGCATCCTGGACACTTGAGTCCTTGGGCAAGCTTTAAAAATCGATTTTGGTTTTGTTCTCTTTCAGGATCAGCAACAGAATAGGAGACCATGCTGAGTATTTCTTGAAGCTTTTTCCAGCACTTACCATTTATGTCTACAACAGTGTACGTCAGAATCCCAAATACAGTCACTTTGCAGACGTTCAGGACCCCTCTCTGTAGGATGTCATTGCCTCGTATCCTGTGTCTGACCCCACCGTCCCTGCCCCTTTTTATTCCCTATTTCTTCATCTGCAGAAGAGTTGAAGAAAGTGGGTAAGGTGATGGGAGAGAGCACATGCAGGGACAGAGCATGGAGGGCTTAGGCTAAGAAATGAAGGATGCTTCACAAGGGTTTGGGGTAACATCCACGGGCTTTGGAGAGGAGCCAAGCTGAGCGCCAACCCAGGTCCCCCTTGGCTGCCTCTGTCCCTCTGGTCTTATCCGTCTCTGTGAGGTGGAGATCAAGGCCCTGATCCTTATGGAGAGCAGGGAGATGTGGGACAGCCTCCTTAAACAAATGCATCTGGGAGGCAGGTGAAGAGCTCGGGCACTGCCAGACAACATGGGACTCTTATAAAGCAAAAGGAGTTCGAGCTCCTTGCTAGGGCAAATATTCCCTGTAGCTTGCACTGATGAGCAACTCACCTACCCTAGAAAGACATGGATTGTCCCTTTTCAGTCTTTTGAAATGCTACAGCCAGAAGATAAGATGCCGAAGCAATGGTCTGGCTGCAGAGTTGCCCTTGGCCCGTTATCTCTCTGATCTGGTAGATGTACACTCAGCCCAGCCTGCTAGGACCTGAAGGACTTCTACTGGGGGACATGGGGGATGTTTCCACCAGGAGCGGACATAAGGAGCACGATCCCACAAAACTCTGCTACTGTGAGTAGTCCTGACATCTGAAAAAGCTCGCTGATGTCAGAGACTGCAGGGACTGGTTCCTCCTGGAAAGGACAAGCTCTGTTATAGTATGCAGCCAGCTCAGAGCTTTGATACCGGAGGCTGGGTGGCACAAACCCATTTCTGAAATCCTACTGCATGCAATGTGTGTCTGGCTGACCAAGGGCTTGCTTGTTTCTTGGCTAACGCTCTGATTTGCACAATGATTATATGTTGCTTACAGAAATATTTTTCAGCTGTTGAAAGGCTTTTTAATTTTTTTTCAACGGAGATTGCTATTCTTTCAATTAGCCTATGGAGAATCAAACTTGGAATAAAATTCCCTGGAAAACTGACTTTTACTACACATTTATGAATGAGGTCCCCCATCCACTCCGCACAGAGAGTTAGTCTGCAGCACTATAAAATATCGAAAAGGCTGGGATTTTTGGCTTCCCTGTGGAGGTGACTCTTGGTTGTTTAGGTAAGGTGGTGGATGGTTTTGTCACTGCCCAGATGAATTTCTTCTGGCCCATATGGATATCTGATGGGAAATGTCGTTGGGAAGTACCAAAGGCTTCCTGTCCTCAGAAGCAAGCTGTCTCTTGTGAAATAATAGGCTCAATGGTGAGGATTTTTGCATTGTTTTTGCAGCGTGAGGGTGAGGATTTTGTGGATGAGTTGAGAGGTGAAGATGAGCATCAATGCTTGCACATGTATGCTTGCATACATGTAGAACTCTGGGAGTGGATGTGTTTGGCCCGTCTCCTCTACAAATGGATGGCTCCCCAGAATGCACCGTCGAGCCCCGCACATCTGTTTAGCTGTGCATGCTTATAGATGTACATACCTGCAAACCAGCAGGCATCACTGTGCATGAGTTGGGTTGCAGACTGCCACATGTGTGCTCATGGTTCACCGGGGTCCATGTGCCAGCCTGCATCAGTGGTCCTGGCTCAGAGCAAAGGTCCTTCTGATGGTCTTGGAAACCTTTTAAAATACAGAAATGTAACAACAAGAAAGTTTGACTATGCAACTGTTCATGAGGTGCCATTAGAGAAAATGTAACCAGGAGAATGATGACTCCTCTTGTGTAAATTTTTTATTTTTTCCTTTCCTCCTTGCTGTTTTGTTGTTGTTGTCTGTCGTTCTCATGCCCAGAAAGCACGAGGACACATAGAGGTGCATGTCTGCGTCTCAGCAGCATGGGGATCAGGGGTGTTGTGGGGAGCACGGTGTCTTCATCCTGCAGCAACACATTTCTGCTCTTGCATGAGGAGAGGTGAGGCTATGGGCCGGGGTCCTTCAGCCTCTTGGAAAAACATCGTGTTTAAATAGTATAAGGGTGGGTGTCGCGGACGGGGCCAGACTCTTTTCAGTGGTGCCCAGCGACAGCACAAGGGGCAACGGGCACAAACTGAAGCATAAGAAGTTCCATCTGAACATGAGGAAGAACTTCTTTGCTTTGGGAGTGATAGAGTACTGGAACAGGCTGCCCAAGAGGGGTTATGGAGTCTCCTTCTCTGGACATATTCAAAACCTTCCTGGACATGGTCCAGTGCAGCCTGCTCTAGGTGATCCTGCTTTAGCAGAGAGGTTGGACTAGATGATCTCCAGAGGTTCCTTCCAACCCCTACCATTCTGTGATTCTGTTTCCAGTTTGCTTTGATGTTTGCATCTTCATGCATCACTCTGCTGTTTTGCTAAAGGGCTATGACTTGGCAGCCTTAAAAGGCTGTGGAAAGGCCTTCCTGAAAGCAGAGAGCACTCGAGGTTGTCCAAACCAGAACAATGATTAAACCCATGGAGGCTGTGACTTGCCTCTCTGGGGCAATCGGGCTGCTGGGAAGAATTTCCAGGGAAGGCTGGTGTGGTCTGCAGGGTCATATCCTGCTTTCCGAGAAGCCAGAGGTGCCGGCAGACTGGTGACAGAGGAGAAACTTGATCTGTGCAGGGCATCTGTAAAGCTTATTGCTCACAGAGTGTCAGGCCACGGGAAGAAGGGGGGATGCAGGACTGGGACCAAGTCTGGAGAACACACCAGGCTCCCTCTCCTCCTCACAGGGTCAGAAAGGATGGGCGACTGCTCAGCGAGAAGCCGGGTGGGATGGCAAACCAGTAGCAAGGACAGCTGGGCAGTATTGCAACTGGGTAGTATGGTAGTGCCTGATGTCCCAGCCTGGGGGTAAACGTGTCCGAGGAGAGCCTGGGGCAGAGCCAGCTGCCAGAGTTAGTGCTGCTTGATGTGCAGCGTCAGTGCCCCATCTGGGAGCTGCTGCCTGCCTTTGCCTCCTACGGGCGGGCTTGCAGACCGTGCGTGGTGCCCAAGGGCACGCTGATTTGGCCCCACACTCTTCACTCCCCTGCCGTTGCGCGTTTGCTGTGCTTCTGCCTTCTTCCCCTGCTGGGTGACCCCAGGGGCAGCTGGCTCAGCCTGATGTGACAGGATCAGGTGCTGCCCATCCTCTCCCTCGTGTGCTGAGGACACGCTTGTGTGCACAGGGATGGCCCCAGGTCAATGCGTCTCGTCTTCTACACCAGGGAAAAAAAGAGCTCGCAGAGGCAGTGGAGTGAAGATCGTTCTTAGCCATGGTTTTGCTGTGATGAGCTTCAGGCACATCCGTGAAGCCTTCTAGGGACCAGGCTCAGCTGGGCTCAGGCTGCAGAGCCTGGAGGGCTAGTGCAAAGCACACAAAAACGCAGCTCGCCTTCGGGGCAAAATCAAGCTACAGCACAAGGGCATTTTGAGAAGCTGGTCACGGTCCAGGTTGTAGGTGGCTGATGCCATTTCTAAGTGCCTCATTGATAGAAATGTTGTTGGACTTGGGGTTTGTTTGGATTTTTTGATCCTTCAGAACCAAAGTGTTGATAATCGTAACTGACAAATATGAAACACGTCATCACCTGCCTTAAATGCACCTGCGTCATTCCCGGGATGCAATCTTCTGGGATCTGAGGGTTAAAAAGTAGCTACAAATAGCTCAAAATTACAAAGCTGAGAGCTTGCAAGGGAGGGAGGCTTGCAGTCTTTTCTTCATGAGGTCCAAAGAACATCTGGGATTTCTGTAGCTTTGTGGTGACTTGGCAAAGCCACCCTGACTCAGTTTCACCTAGGGGAAATGCAGGTCTTTGATGTGATTTGGTTAGTGCTTTGTAAAAATACTGGCTTTTAAAAAAACATGCTGAGGCCCCAAGTCAGGCACGAGTTGATTTTGATTGGAAATTCAGAAAGGCTCTGGCAAGATAGACCCCATCTCACCACCCAGGGACAGCTGAGTAGGAAACCAGGTGGGTTCTCTTAGCCTTCCCACCCACAGGAGGCATTTCATTTGAGTGGAAAGCAGGGAGGTGTGAGGAGATGAGACGAGACAAGTCTGTGAGGTGTGTGGAGCAAAGGAAAGGTAATCCTGGTCCTCGGTGAGGAGCACAGCTCTGGGGACCAGTGGTCTTTGAGGACCCCCACCCTCAGGTATTTACTGTGACTGCTTGCTGGCTTTAGGCACCTTCCAAATGTCTTGTAAAAAGACCTCAAAGGTGGTGTTGTGCTGTGTAACCAGTGTGATTTATTTACACTGTTACTGGATTCCAGCCATGGGCAGTGTAGTCTTCTGCAGATAGATGTGAGGAAAGCGACTGTTGTGTGGACAAGGGTATCTCCTCGGTGGAAATGCGTCATGGAATAGCTGTGCCATGGTCACGGAGGTGCAAGCTGCTGTGCTCTGCTACCAGGCAGGCTGGAGGATGCTGTGAGTTGCTTTATTTTTAGGTCTTCTTGCTGATTAAGTGCGTACTATGCAGTGTGTCTGGGCTGCTCAGCTTTCCTGGAGCACATCATCTTCCTGCTCAGTGTGGACAGTAGATTGGGAGGTCTGTTATTCCTCGGATGTCTGTCCTTCCCTCGGTGCCTACAGGGAGGGGGGAGATTTTGCATCAGCGGCTGCTGCTGATGGAGGCAGAGTGTGGGTGATCGGGGATGCAGAGCACTGCTGTGTGCTCCCGGGGGGGCTGCTCAGGGCACAGAGAGGTGCAGCAACTGGGGATTTTCTGTGAATGTTACTGGAGATGGTGGGGCTGACCAGCATCCTGCACAGACCCACCCAGCTGGTCTCTGGGTTTTAAGGGGTCTCATAGCTCTGCTGCTGCAGGTGCTTGTGCTGGTGTGGTTTGGGGGACGTAGACTGCTTCTGCGACCACCTACCTGCTCCGCAGGACAGGAGGCAGCAGACTTGCTGAGTGAGAGCCTTTTCTCAAGACTTTTATCTGAATCTGAGGAAAAACAACATGCACAAACTTCCCATCGTGGACCGATGCGGGGAAACCTAAAGCCCTGCTCCCATGCCAGCAGCTGGAGCAGGAATGGTCCTTTCGGCCCTCATTCACCTTTTGCTCCTCCAATGGCTCCATTGTCTTCTGGGTCCATGGCAGCAGGATCTGGACCCCATTCAGGAGCGTGAAGACAATGACGGTGTGATTGTCTGGTGAGGGAGACGAGATGAAGTGGTACCATGCGCCAAGCGCTCTGATGGCAAATGAGGGGGGACAGCAAGATGTGTCGTCCCTTTCGAATCCCATGGGGCTCGGATGGAGGTCAGGGAAGGGTTGGCTGATCAAGGACATGAGTCCCCCAGATCTCCTTGGCTGAGAAGCTGTTTGGGGGCCGCAGGGCAGGGCTGGGGTGATGTCCCACCCTAGCTCTGGGTCCTGGATGACAAACGGGAGGCTTGTGAGGAAGGAGAAATGGGGACAGACGTGCTCCCAGCTTTGTGCCCGCATGGGTGGCTTCTCCCAAGAGGAGCACCTTGCTCATGCCCACGAAGTGGGGTGCAGGCAGCATGTCCAGCCTCAGCAGGAGCTGCCCCTCTGCTCTCTGTGGAGGCACAGGCAGTGCCACAGTGACGCCTGGTGATGGGACACGGGTTCGTGTCTGGCACCTTCCCAGCTGCACGTGCACCACGGCTGCGCAAAGCAGCGGCCCTCAAAACAAGAGAAAAGCAAGATGTGGGCGGTAGCAGGGCTTCTCTGGAATTACAGGTATTTTCCCTAGCAATTTTAGTGCCTTTTAAAGACCACATAACCAATTTTCCCCAGCTGAAAAGCAAGATTTTCATCTAAAGGTCAGAAAAGCAATACCCTTAGATAAAGGTCATTGGTGAAAGTGTGATAAGGTGCAGAAAATTATCCTGAGCAAGGTGGCACGGACACCAGTGCAGCCAGAAACAGCAGCTATTTTTGGGTGGCACCCTGATTTGCTTTGCTCCTCTCTGATGGTCAGGTTGCTGCAGCCGGGGCTGTCTGTGGGTCGGCAGGGGATGCAGAGCGGGAGCCAGCCTGCGCTGCACCCCGTGGGTACCGCTCTGCCCTACCAAGGGGTGATGGCGTCTGCCCTTCCCACTCAGCCAGGCTGGACGTGCCAGACACGCAGGCAAGGGCAGGAGGAGTGGGACGGGTCAGAGCGATCACACTTCTCTTCCCACAACACACCGCCCAAGCTGAGGGATTTTTATCTGCATGGCTCAGGTTATTCATCCTTGTGAGCTGCTACAAGGAGCTGTGGCTTGGGGACAAACGTCCCAGGGATGTTCACTGAAGGATTAATGTCCATGTGAGAAAGATCACTGTCTTTTCTACATGTCCCCAGCTATCTCTCTGGAGCAGCACCTCAGCGCACTCACGCTCTGAGGCTCTATGTAGTTAAATATGGGCTGTGCTGCTTGAGCAGCGGTGGGACTGTCCTAACCCTTGCACCAGTTTGCACTGATTGAAGGTCTCTCTCCCTACTGGTTTGCTGAAGACCTTGGCAAACATGGGTCTTTCTCCCAGATAACGCAGCAGGTAGCTCCTGTGCAACACAATGCTTCTGGCATGTCGCTAGCTGGGAACACACATGTGGTGGGTTAGGTTTTGTCTGTTTTTTTTTTTCTAGTGGCAATAGGCTTTTGCATTAAGAAACCTATGATTGAGAAGGCCCTAGAAGTTCATGAGGCTCTGTAGCAAGGTGGAGACTCCAGCTGAACATCGCTAGAAGGCCCTAGAAGTTCATGAGGCTCTGTAGCAAGGTGGAGACTCCAGCTGAACATTGCGTGTTATCCAGGAGAACACCCATGGTATGGGGTGGTTTGAGCTAATAGACATGGCTTGGCAGTCTTGGAGCACGTCGGTATGGGGGTCTGTCACCCCAGCTCAGCTGCTGAGCAGTAGCTTGAGCACCTGCCTGTAGGTATCAAAATCTCATAACTCTGCTGATTTTTAACCAGAGCTTGACAGTGATAAATGACAGGGAGCAGAACACCAGCTTGCTGACACCCACTCGACCGTCAAAGCACGATTAGTACGTTCCTATTTTGGCTTCCCTTTTAATCAAAAATCAATTAGACAATTACCAAATGAATATTCAGCTAGGGAGCCAGGTTGTCAGGCAGACTGACAGCACTTAGCATCACTTTCTTTGTGATTTTCAGTTTAGA